TGGTGCAGCGGTGGGGCAGCAGTGGGTCAGGGGTAGCAGTGGGGTGGTGGGGCTGGGGCGGTGGAGGGGCAGCGGTGGGGCTGGTGCAAAGGAATGATAGTGGGGGGCAAAAGGAGGGTAATTTGGACATTTTGATGATGTATTCAACCCTAACTAAAAATGAGGAAAAGTCAAAGTAGGAAGTTTATTCCCGGACGGAGGAGTATTAAATATCATTAAACCAACATTATGTTGTAATTCAAGTCAAGTAGTTAACACATGATTCAGCCTGACAAAAATGGCACCGAAATACAGAGGAATGGAAGATTAATCTACCACAGAAACTCAAACATCAAACAAAAAAGAAAGTAGTAAACATCATGACATTGGCGCATCAGCTCGAATTAACCACACCTTAGTCACAAGCACTTCACTCAATCTTGCATATAATCCATCCCTTCGACTCTTCAATGATTTCAAATTCATGCCATACTCGTTCAGCCTGCAAATAGATAAAATCACAATGCTTAAAATTTGATATTAAAAAAAAGTTATAAACATCGGGCATGAAATAATCAAATTCAGTATCATAAAAATCGAATATTGGAAATCCAAAATGCATAGATCGTCATTGCAATTACCTGTAATTGACGCAGGCAGGGCAAATAGAAGGGAGATTTGGGTTTTCACATATACCACAGCTGCTTGTTTTCCTTGCCATGATCTGAACACTCATTGGCACAAATCTTTATCCTTCATAGTCTACACTACGCACAGAGCCACGGAAACGCCGGACCTTGTGAGAGATTGCGTGGATGGTATAAGGAGGCTCGGACACGGCCGCTATACGCCCGGTTGCGGCGGGAATATGCTCGGTAGACGGAGTGCAGTTTGAGGTTTGGAGTGGGGTTCTTCCGGGAAGGAACGAGATGAACAGAAGAGTGAACAAACGCGCCGGATTCCGGTGATGATGGGATGCTTGCCGACTTGCGGGTGTTGGGGCGAGCTGATGGATTTTGCGGGTGTTGGGGGGGCGATGGAGGAGACGAGGGGGAAACTCCCCATGCGACGGACGCGATAGTCAGATGTTGTTGGGGCAAACGGTTCGGTTAACTGAACCTTTTTAGGCCAAACTGGGCCGGTTCTTTTTGCAATTGTCTCTCTTACTATCAAAACTTTATTTGGAATTGTCTCTCTTAGGGCCTATTCTTTAGGATCTATAAAAAAGAATTGAATGTTGGAAGAAATTAGAAAAAATGGGAAGGAATTGAAAGACATTGGAAAAAAATGGAAGGAACTGGAAAAAACTGGAAAACTAAAAAAACTTTAAAAATATTTATTTTAAATTCTTGTTGTTATAAATTATTATTATTATTATTATCATCATCATCATCATCATCATAATCATCATCATCATCATCATAATCATCAACATAATCATCATCATCATCACGTTATCTTAGTGAATATCTTTAAGATATAAAAAAAGTATTGTTATTTTTTAAATACAAAAAACTACTTTTACAAAAAATAATTATAATATAAAGTTAGCATAAATATAAAAATATTAAATTTTAAAAAGGCTGTGTAGTTATTTTGCACCTCAATTTATTTATGCAGTATTAATTATAAATAATGTATTTGTAATTTTAATTTATATATTAAAACATTTTGTTTTAAATATCATACATGTCATATAATCAAACCTATTGTTTTTTTCATGATTGACATTTTATTTTCATTGAATTCCTATTTTTGGAATTAAGACATAGAACTTTTTTGTTTACATTTTTTATGTTTTACTCATATTTTAGTCTTTTTCTCTAAGCTCTTTTGACTTACAATTTTTTTATAAAAATTTAAAAAATGAGCAATTTTTAAGTAATAAAGGGAAAATTGAGATGTCTTATAAAAAGTTATATTAATAAAACATTCAATGTAACTATTTTATCCATAATTTTTTAGTATAATTTAACATATTGATGTTTTCCTGTTTTATCATGTAGACTAATATACAAAAAAATGTCGTATTCATATTAAAAAGTTGAAGAAAAAAATAATAAGTGTGAACCGTAAAAATAGTGAGATGAAAAAAATAAATTATAAACTACATTTATGAATATAACAGTTGTAATAATAATAATAATAATAATAATAATAATAATAATCACATTGAAATATATCATTTTTAGAGTAATTGGTTGAGGAGTAGAAAGAATTTGAAGAAAATGAAAAAAGCTGGAAGAAACTAGATGGAACTGGAAGAAACTGGAAGGAACTAGAAAAAACTGGAAAAAACTGAAAGGAACTGGAAGAAACTAAAAGTTAAGAGTTCAAGCCCTAAAGAACAGGCCCTTAATATATTTGGAATATATATTGCAGGGTTCTATCAATTTTCTGTTAAAAATTATTAGGAGTCACTCACATAGAGCTGGAAAATTGGCCGGTCAAATCAGATTCGTGTTCGGTCACTATAGATTCAGATAAGTTCGGGTTCGGATTGAGAACATGTTCATCGGGTTGAAAACATGACCCACCGTCATCGGGTTTAAGTTGATCCAACGGGTTTAGACCTTTATTTAGTTTTTGAAATTTTAAGTAATTTTTATGAAAGTGTCAATATTACGAATAAAATAAACTAAATATGTAGAAATTTTGAAAAATAGTAAGATAAGTATGCGCTATCATTAAAAACAAGTAATAAGAAAAAGAGATATAATTATAATTTTATTTTTATAACATTAGATTTCATATTAAAGTACTATATGATTTTGAAAAAACTCTTACATTAGCGAATTGGTCAGGTCGGGTGTGCTCAGGTCTCGAACCAAAAACAAGTCGAGTTATTTTTTGTCAAATTTAGGTCTCACATTATCTAAAGTATACTTCGAGAGTCTTTTAAAATTGTAGTAATGTACCCCAATAGTATTTTCCGTCAATTTGGTCGTAAGAATTGCAATTTCCATTATTTTAACAAATACTCCCTCCGTCCGGGAATGATAGTCCCACTTTGACTTTTCCTTATTTTTAAGAGGAGTGGAAAAAGGCTTTGAAATGTCCACTTTACCCTTGGTACTCAGATCCATTTCCAGATATGCAAATGGCTCATCACAGTACAGACTTAACTTATTCATAGGAAAATGCTCATCACAGTACACACTCTCCACTTAAGAGAAGCACAAATTTGAAATTCAATTCAGAATAAATTCAGAAAGAATTAGAGTGAAAGGAAAGGAACATCCCTACTTGTACTGTGAAGCCCAAAAGTTAGGATCCGGGGTGGGCATTAATATGTTCAGCAGATCGATGTGGAGGTGCATGCAAGAGTTCATGGATGGAGAAGTCTGATTCTCAAGAAATTCAGACCCCTCTACATCCTCAAAACTGCCATCTTCCTCGCTCCCAAACAGTGAATCTTCATCAGAGTCAAGGACGATAACCGCGTTCTTATCTCTGACCGGGGCAACATCGACATCATCGTCATCGCTGTGGATGACGATGACCTCGTCCTCCTTCTTCGTGTTAGAGGTGGAAGATAGATGAATCACATCGTCCTCAACTCCAATGTCCTGAAATTCCGTCTCAGGGATGATGGAATCGTAAAGAAAGTATTCAGATTCCATGATTTGAGGCGGAGATGTATAGATCTGGGAGAGGAACGAGAGAAGCACAGGGATTGGGAGAGAAGAAGAACCGACTGAGAGAGAGTATAGATCTGGGAGGTGGGCGAGAGAGTTTAATTGGGGAGGTGGGTTGGGTAGATAGGAGTGAATGTGAGGATATTAAATGAGAGGGGTATTTTAGGGAGAATAGAGGAAAAAGGATACAATGGGACCATCATTCCCGGACGGAGAAAAACGTACAATGGGACTATCATTCCCGGACGGAGGGAGTATTAAATTTTATCTTAATGACCATTATTTTATTAAATTTTAACAAAATTCTTCAATTTTTCAAAGTAAAAGAACTTTCAATAATAATGCCTAAATGGGCAAAATATACACTCGAAATATAATATTACAAATTTTAAAGATCTCAAAGTATATTTTAGATAAAGTACAAAAAAATTGAGGGTACCCCATAGTACATTTCAAATAAAGCATGACATGAGAGTTATTAAAGAAAAATTGAGGGTATCCAGAGAAATTTTTTACTTTTACAGTATTCGAGTAAGATTTCCTTTCTTTGAACTAGGAAAAGGAGTGAAAGAAAATGGAGAAAGTAAAAGAAATCACCCTAAATGCGGAGTGAAACATGTTCGATTTTTGGCAACTGCGCTAGGAGGCAACTTTGCTAAGCGTAGAGCCTCTGCAAATACCAATGTAGGCTTTATTCTTTGTCATCAATTTACGATCAAAGTCCAATTTACTTCCTCTCAATGACCGTCCAGGTGGGTCTGAGGGGCCTCGGGGATGAGACTTATCCTTTTTTTTTTCAAAACACATTTTAACTCATATTTTGAGAATAAAAACATGAAACTCTTATTTTTATATATTTTCAATTTTCACTTCTACTTTAGCCTTTTTTCAGAATATAATTGAAGATGCAAGAATTTAAAAACGGAAATAAATATTTAGTTCTCATTAATTTCTTTATAGGAGAGGATCAATGATACTCCATCCTTCCCAATTTAAATCTCCTATTTTGGTTTACATTGTTTTACTGAAGTTATTTTCCACATAATTTATTTGAGATTTTAGAGCGGGATTAAAAAATAAAATTTATAATTAAAAAACTACATCAAAACTCTACGAAACAAGTGGTGAAATGAGTATATTATTTTATCAAATGAGTAACAAAAATGTGGATACAAGGTGAATGAAGTTTGACCTTGTAAATAATAAATATGCAACTTAATTTGGGATAGAACTAATAGAATTAAAGATTTTTTTTAAAAAAGTAATTTTTTTCACCTTCCACATAGGTGTCACATAATCAATGCCACATGTCAAATTCTTAGAACTTAGTCTAGTTTTTGTATACGGGTAAATTTCACCAATGGTACCTGAACTTTAGCTGAAATTTCAAAGTGGTACCTGAACTTCAAATCCTTTCACAAAAATCCCTGAACTTATACAATCCTATCACTAATGAGCCATTAGCCCGTTTCTAGGTTAACTTCCGGTCATTAGGGCCAAATTCGAATTTTATATATTTTAAAATTTTCAATTTGACCCCATTTCTTCTTTTCTTTTCTTCCAGGCCCCGCCGCCGCCCGCCGGTCAAAGTCGCCGGAAAATGAACTTTTACCGATTCCGACGGGACCAATGTCATTCTCTTCGTCTTGAGGCGAGGATCAATAATATCCAAACCATTTTGTCTAATTTGGCCTGTAACTTCTCGAATCTGAATTTTTCTACTCGAAAAACCCTAAAATCGAAATTGGGTCCAAAATGGGGGGTTTTGCAAATCGTCATCAAATCTTGCAATTGAGGGGTCCTTGGAGGTCGCCCGGATGTCACGACTGCATTGGAGTTGGTGCCCGCCGTCAATTTCTCCGGAGTTGGCCGGAAAACGCTCTGACCCGCCAGCGGTTTCTGGCGGGTCGGAGCGTTTTCCGGCCAACTCCGGCGAAATTGACGGCGGGCATCCACTCCAATGCGGTCGTGGCATCTGGGCGACCTCCAAGGACCCTTCAATTGCAAGATTTGATGACGATTTGCAAAACCCCCCATTTTGGACCCAATTTCGATTTTAGGGTTTTTTCGAGTAAAAAAATTCAGATTCGAGAAGTTACAGGCCAAATTAGACAAAATGGTTTGGATATTATTGATCCTCGTCTCAAGACCAAGAGAATGACATTGGTCCCGCCGGAATCGGAAAAAGTTCATTTTCCGGCGACTTTGACCGGCGGGGGGCGGCGGCGGGGCCTGGAAGAAATGGGGCCAATTTGAAAATTTTAAAATATATAAAATTCGAATTTGGCCCTAATGACCGGAAGTTAACCTAGAAACGGGCTAATGGCTCATTAGTGAAAGGATTGTATAAGTTCAGGGATTTTTGTGAAAGGATTTGAAGTTCAGGTACCACTTCGAATTCCATCTAAAGTTCAGGTACCATTGGTGAAATTTATCCTTTTGTATACTCCAAACAAAGGAAATGATGGTTTTGGCAGAAAATTCCCAAAAAATTGCTGGTGGGTATCCCTAATTTTGTAATAAGAACTCTCAAGTCCCATTGTTTTTCAAAATATACTCCGAGGTATCTTAAGATATTCGAAAACTGACTACGGGGTGACAATCCGTCACTCTCTCCGTTAGCATCCCTTCTTCCGTTATCTTCTTTTTCTTCTCCTCCCCCTCTTCTTCTTCTTCTTCTTCTTCTTCTTCTTCTTCTTCTTCTTTTCTTCTTTTTTCTTTTCTTCTTCTTTCTCTTTCGCCTTCCAGTCCATTCTTCCCCCCACCCCCCGTTTTTTTTCTTCTTTTACTTTTTGTTTTGTTTTTTATTCTTCTTCTATTATAATTATTATTATTTGTTATTAATTATTATAATTACTTCATATTAATTATTATTTTCTTATTCTATCATTATTATTATTATTAATTTTTTGATTTATTATTATTACTATTATTATTAAAAATTAATTGTTAGTTTTACCACTCTTTTCTATAAAAACACTAATTGTTATTTAGAAAAATAGCACTTATTATAAAAAACACTTATTATTAATACTGTTATTTATTTTAAACAATTAATTAGTGATTTTACTTCTATACTTTTTTATAAAAATACCACTAGTTATTATTATTACTTCATATTTTATTCATCTTATTCTTTTCTCAAGTTCTCTTGTTTTCTCGATTTACCGTGACACCACTACCAATGACGACTACCAATGACTAATGCGTGGCTAATGCGAAAGACATTGGATTCCGAAAAGTTAGAGTAGTAAAACTACTAAAAAAATTTTACAATGATAATAATAAGTTTTATTTTAAATAATTAATACTATTTTTCTAAATAATAATGATTGTTACTCCGTATTTCGTAAAAATAGAGAACTAAAATTACTACTCCGTAATTAATTTTTAATAATAATTAAGAAAATAATAGGAAATAAATAATACTATCTCTATCTCGGAGCATATGTCAGGTTTTGACTTTTTTCTATCAACTGTTTTTAACTTTTGACCTATAATTAAATAAAACATATATTTTCTATTGATTCAATAAAGTAATATTTTGAAAGTATTTTATATATTAATTCTAATAAAACTATTTTTGTATCAATATCTAATATTATTATTTTTTAATTTAGGGTTAACTTTTATCAATTTTTACCGAAAAAATCAAAAGTAATAATAATAACTAGTGGTATTTTTATAAAAAAGTATAGAAGTAAAATCACTAATTAATTGTTTAAAATAAATAACAGTATTAATAATAAGTGTTTTTTATAATAAGTGCTATTTTTCTAAATAACAATTAGTGTTTTTATAGAAAAGAGTGGTAAAACTAACAATTAATTTTTAATAATAATAGTAATAATAATAAATTAAAA